AAAATCTCAACGCGTACAAAAAAAACTACAAAATCCTACTGTAAGATCCTAATAGGATCCTGTAGTCAGATCTTGTAGAATCTTGCAAGATCCTATTGAAGGATTACAGTAGGATTTTATCTGATTTTCTGCTGGTTTATCCTGCTAGGTTTATTGTTTTATCTGTTTAATTATTATCTGATCTTAGCTAGTCAGAATCAGGTGATTCTGAGCTGAGATAAGCCCACGACTTGTGAGATTTACACACTTTATTTTTTACAATGTGAGACTGCTAACTGTCAGATGAAACTTAGTTTGACTTGGTTTATGTGAAAATTACAAGATCTGGTATAAAAAGTCACTTTGAATAGTTCATGCAAGCGAAAGAGTTCAAAGACGCTCAGAATTGAATGTATAAGAGGCCGTTCAACTGTCGGTTAATCTTATCTCTATAACACACACTAGCTTATAAGATAAAGAGCACACTTTTCTATCTGATATTTTAGTTGTTCTCGTTTACAAATATTGGTCCATTGTCTTTTAACACCGCCGTCAAATTTGTTAATTGTATGTCATGGATTAATTCATGATAATATTCGAGAAACATGGCAATTAAAAGAAATGCATTGCGTGGTTTTACAATGGATGTTTTTGTCGACATCATCAATTTGGTTCATTACCGATTTAGTCGGACGATCAAGTTGGAAGTCAAAGGAATTTCGTCTTCAAAATATAATAAAAATGTTTGAAAACTTGAAATATCGCGTATGTTTATCTTAATAAATATATTTTGAAAATGAAATATATTCAAATTATAATATGATTTTAGAATGATTATTTTGATTTATTTATTGATGCCCTATCAACTTTGACAATAAATAGTGACGACAATGTATATAAAAAAGTAAAAATAAAATTAGTCATACTTAATCATCAATTTCTAATTTTAGGAGCCAATAACGTCAAAACAAGCGTTATACCTGTATCAAATGTTTTCAATTTTATCCGTTTTATTAACAAACAGTACACAATATGAAACATATTTTCGTGAAAGATATTTGGAAGAATTTACGTATGTTATTACATTTTATTTTACATCATTGATTTTATATGTTCTGAATGATCTGCTGATGTTTTATTGTTTTAGTTATTTTTTAAAAGAAGAATTGATATTATCTAAAATTGCCATACAATATCCAGTGTACCGTTTTCTACCGAAACTTATTAAAAATGTTATTCATCGTATAATGTATGGTGCAATGAATGCAACAAATCTAGAGAGTCAGCAATTGATCTAACATACTTTGTAGATATTTTTATTTTTTATTTTGCAGATAGGTCGCGTTACCCAGTGTTTGTTTTTTGCAATACGCATTTTTCCTTGTCAGACATTTTTTGCTATTTTTGACTAATTGTTAATTATTAAATTAAACTAATAAGTAAAACATTTAGACGTGTTTATCAGAAAATATGAACAACAACAGTAAGTTCAGAAAATATTTTACTAGATCCGTAAAAAATCGTTCCCTCACAAGTTGATGATAGGCATATTATATAAGAAAACTAAAACTTAAACCACTGAATAGAGTTTCACGAAACTGATCGCTTAAGAGTTTGAGATCATGTTCTTTCTCAGGTTTCAGATCGTTTCGGATGACATAGCAGAAGTTTCTACACACATGGAGATATCATATCTAGATATTTAAAAACAGTTTTGCATATTTCCAGAATATATGCACATTTAGGAAACGCTCCATTAGTGGCGTAGTCAGGATTTTGTTAGTGGGGGGCATTACCCCAAATTTTTTCAAAGTGGTAGAAATATAAGAATTTTTCGTGTCGTAGAAAGATCAAAGACGTCAGAAATATTTGCTGCAGCTGTTTACTGGAAATATTATATAAAAGAGGTTTACCTGTTCCTAAAAAACAGCAATTATCGAATTATTTAACATTGTTCAGAGAAAAGTTGCTTGGTACATCAAGTATAAGTTTAGGCCAATTGGAAGCATGGTGTCAACAAAATTCAGTTATACCTGATGATGATGATAAACCTTGGGTACTAAAATATCATATTGAATATGAAGATGAAATTGATGATGGTGATGATGATGGAAATAAATTTCGATTCTGTGTGATATTGTGTGATAGTTTGGAAGGACATTGAATTAGTTTTTGATTGTAAACTCTTCCTTTTAAATTTTATTAACAGAAATTATTTCAAAAACGTTTCGGAAAAATCTTCTTCCTTCTTCAGTTTGAAAAAATAATGAATGACATATAGAACTATTTGAGAAACACATACTATATAATTTATTCTTTTTTCCCTCTCTCTCTCTATAATAGTGGGAACGGACGGACAACAGGACGTTTTACCGTCCCATTACTCATAATCTCTTAACTGCCTCTTTGATTGTTTAAATTCAATCTTCCTTTTTATATGATCAATATTTTTGTGCAACAAGGGCATCCAAGAATAACCTAGGTCATTATGTCTATTTATCGACTTGTTCATAATTGAATAAATAGATTCTTTCACACGTCTCTTTCTCCAGTCTATGTCGTTATCAATAACAAATGCATTTGATGGTCTGAACATGCACTGAAA